CTATCGTATGATTAACAACCATTCTGCTGGTCGGTCCGTTGCGAAGATTCCTACATTTCGAGCCCACACAAATGACACGTACAGTTTCGGAATGATTTGTTTATCGACCACGCATAATTTATGAGATACGAAGTAAGCAATATTTATCAAGGTTTGAGGTCCTTGACTATATTTTAATATTTTCCTCAAGGTACCCAACAAAAGTATAGGTCCAAAACAGAAGCTATAGCCGTAAAAATACAGAACTTTTAAATATCTGTACTTATCAAAGCCTAAATCACTTCAATAAATAACCTTTTTTCACTTAGGGTATGCTCAGAATTAACTTATGCCACCCTATTTTACTTGTGGATTCCACTGATTGTTCAATTTTAATACAATTATTTTTTACAGAGCTACGCTGGACGTGTTCACGAAGAAAAATCGTATTACGGATATACGTGCTTAATTAACATGAGGTCATAATCTAATCTATTGTGCAATTTTACTGACTTCATGAAAAATGTTCACGGAATGAAGGGTGTTCAAGATGAAAATGTTCTTACTTAATATCGTGTGATAATCACAGTGAAAATTGAATTTAATGAAAATAATGAAGAAAGTTCAGGAAATGTTGCTGAAAATCGGATACATGTACTTACTCAAAATTGTGTCATAATTACAGTGCAAAGTGCCCTTTTGTAAAATTCATCAAACCAGTCAAAAAATGAAGAATGCTCAAGAAATGCTCATGAAGAAACAGACGAGTAATAAATACCTGTTTACTGTCTGATGTCACAGTCACAGCGTTGAATGCAACTGCGAGAAGTTCATAAACAATGTTCCACTGAAATAAAAAATATTCACGATATATATCGCGGATATGGTTGCTCGTCCACAGTAGCTGATAGTTTCATACTGACCACAGTATCTTTAGCGTTGTGTTACTTAATATCCTGTCATAACCATAGCGTATACTGCAATTTTGTGGCGCTCACATTAAGAATGTTCCTATGGAATATATGGTGTTCAGAGGGATGTGTTTAGTTAATATGGTGTCATTCATAGTGCAGATTAAAATTTTATTAAGCTGAAGAAAAACTGTCATAGAACGAAGAATGTCCAGGTCATATGTCTAATTAGCATAATGCAATAATCACAGCGTAATTTTGTGATGCTCGTGAAGAATGTACAGGAACTGCTAGTTAAGAAAAGACGAGTAACGTATTATGTGCTTACTCACAATGAGTCATAATCATGGTTTACAGTGCAAGTATTTAAATTTGTTGAATAATATTCATGAAATGAAGAATGTTGCGGATGGATATATGCGTTTACTTAAAATAATGTTACGATCGATCACGTGTAAAATGATACTTTACTTTGAGAGCGTTCACCTAGGTGCGGACTGAAACGGATTGCGTTTTTAAATACATCACCGATGTCCCGCGATTTGGGCTGAGTCAGAACTTAAGTTACTTTTGGCTATTTTAGGTACGCTGTATTCTCTTTATCTTAAGTACTATTCTAGCAGTTTATTGTAAACATCGCATTTTTATAATTAATTTCGAATTTACCATACAATGACTGCGGCACAAAGTGCGCATACATCTTCGATCATCGCCGAAAAACTCTTTGTTGTTTGACACAGACAAGAAGTCTGAATTGAAAATGCCAAAAAGAATGAAAAATATGCTCCTCCATAGTGCCAAAATTTCGTACCGAAAAGTCGTGAAAATTGGTGATGTTTCTCGAAAATTTCGAATTATCCAGGAGCCACGTAGTTCTGAATCTTCTGAATCTTTTGATCCGTTAAATTTCGAGTTAACAAGTTTTTATTGCATTGTTTTTATAAAATTTTGGATATCAACCCTCACAGCCCAGGTGTCGCTGGAACACAGAGTGGACATCGGTCATTTACGATCCAAAATTCGCTTCTTCCTCTACATAACTAGACAAAAGTCACCGATTGCTCATCAGCTAAAGTCACTGGTGAATTCGTATTTGTCGCACGCAACGGATCGGCGTCAAATTCAGGCGGTGCGACAGCATCGATTGCGTGCGAGACATCTGCTGACCAATGGAAAGGCATTTTGCAACAATCACCGCCAGAAGGGCTCTTGACGACGGCGGCAAACGAATTGAGGAGAAGAGGTTGCATGCCGCAGGACGGCGACGGCGAAAGTGAAATCATTCGGCGGAAACACCTCGCGTTTGGGAGAGAATTTGGCGAAACTCAACGGCTGCTGTCCATAAGGACATGCGACACTAACGTCCAAAGGACCACAGCGACACTCGTTATTCGGCAGTCGCCTAAACTAACCAAAGAAGAACGGACGGCGCTAATGTCAACGTCACAACAAAAACGTCGTTAATGGATGTCCGTCAGTAGCAATTCGTCATGCGTAGAAATGCATTAGTCGCGTGAGGCATGAAAAGGTGACGGCAAACCTCACGGCGGGCGACGAGCAAAAAAACGCTGAACGAAATAGCCTATTTGTCTTGTTTGGCCCTCCATGACTGATCAGGCGATGAGGCGAAATTGATTCAACGAAATCTACGAATTTAAAGCATAATCTTTAACGTGAAGTTGACTTCGCCTCGATCCTCTGATAACCGGCTTACCGACTGATCGCACAAGCAGAATCAGAGTTTGGTCCTGCTCTGGTAACAGAACCACGCTCAATGACAGTCTGACTTACGGAAGGGACGAGTCACTGCTCATGTACCACACTTTGAGCCAATGTAGCTAACGTACCATACCCTGAGTCAGCAAGACTGCATCACAAGACTCTAACTGAAATGTACTATAAGAAAGGATCAACAGTGCGTTGGTGATGCTTCGTCGTTCGTCGTTTAGCAGATATTCTGAAAATATAATAAACATGGTTTATTCTGCACGAGGCAGTAATGGTTTTTCCAAGGGTGACGAGACCTAGTAGATGTTGCTGTTGCTTTGTGCTTTGTCATCGTCGTCAAAGACCAGCAGATCCTAAACAGCACATACAACAACGCAGATTTGTGTCTGCACTTTATAAATGGTATCTCACATCGAAATCACATGGCCTGGCAGGAGAAAGACAGAAATTCGAAGGCTACAGAAACTCGATTACCTTCCCTCATCGCCGAGGAAGAGGACACAAAAAATCCAACATCAAACGAATCGGATTAACGGAGGAAAAGCGGCGCTCTGTCCCTCTAAATCCATGAAGAGATTTACGAGCTACTGTTTTGGTAACAACAAGAAAAAATTTCGAAACGAATGCGGTGCGGTGAAAAAACAAACGGCATGTTCCTGTCGTATTCAAAATCGTGCAGATGCTTACAACTCACCAGTGACGATTTTGAATTTGTCTGTACTCTAATCAAGTGCCTAATGGTAATTAAGTAGTACTTAATTTTTTAAAACAGTGACAAAATTCTAAATTTGGCTGATGCAGCCACAACGGCTAACACATACTCGAGACAGCACCTCATTACTCTAATAGTCAGTCCAAATCCGCAATAGCTAATCGATCGTTCGTACACAATTAGACTCAGGTACAGACAGCTACGAGAAATTTACGTCCGTAAAACAAAAACTGCGTAGTGAAGTTTCAAACTTTGTACTAGGTAAACATTGACTATTACGTACTCAACTTTCGACCCAAGAGTGACGGTAAACAAATACTGTTA